CCCTAAGTTGCTCTTTGTTATAAAGCTCTTCTGCTCTGTGGATCTCGCACAGAAATTGTTTCTATAGCTACCTGGCTTTTCTATTGCACATCAATCTTTTGTCCTTTTAGGTCCTGTTTCTCCCTCATGACATGTTTTTGTGATAGTGCAGAGCACTTGCCAGCCCTGCCTGCTGATAGTCCATGACTGAGTCACTGAAGCATTTGCCTGCTTCTAGTTTCTAGAAGAACTTATCAGATACTCTTCAAATTCAGATGCATGAGAAGAGCGGGAGGTTTTACCCAGTGTATTAATTTTAGGTGGAAGAGATGGTGCTGGGTAAAATGTCAGTCTGCTGACCCTGGAATCTTTGTTGTGGTGGCTTTGTTGTTTTCCTGACTGGTAGCTTTCCATAATGCCAAAGCTGTCCTGGTAACCCATGTGGTTCTTTACCCCTCCTCTCCTCAGGAAGATGACGTTTGGACGTGTCAGTGACCTGGGACAGTTCATCAGAGAATCTGAACCAGAGCCTGATGTCAAAAAATCAAAAGGTTTGCTTTCCTCTTTCTCTGCATTCCTGTAAACATCTGCAGAGCTGCTCTCTTCCCTACTGCAGTCAAGAGAAGCAAGATTCTTCACTCTTTCCAGATCTGTTTTAAGCCAAATAGAGCTGTTTAGGGGATTGTCCTATACCGAAGCAAACCCCATCTCTGGCCCAGTTTCCTATCCAAATTCTGCTTTTCTGGTCCAGCTGGACCCCGGGGAGTATGAGCAGCCTGTGGGAGTCGGAGCTGTCGATGGAACCTGGCAGGGATGGAAGCTGCTAGCAGCTGAGCTGATGATCAAACCTTCAAAGATTTGCTCTTGAGATGAAAAAGAACTGCAGCTCTCCACATGCTTCCCACCCAGGCTGGGACCTGCTGTTAGTGCTGCTTTCCAGCTCTGGTAGAGGCGGATGGTTTGGGCTCAGTGTGGATGAACCGTGGCTCCCATGGCTCCCACACAGTCCCTTGTCTCTCATGCCACTCCTCTGTGCCCTCGAATGCCAGCAGTGCAACCCCTTCAGAGGGATGACAGGAATTAGCTTTGGGAGAGGTGTGTGCCACAGTTTGCTGACATACCTTGCTTGCTGTTTTTATCTCAACCAGGGTCCATGTTTTCACAAGCAATGAAGAAATGGGTTCAAGGAAACACTGATGAGGTGTGTCCTCTTTCATGTTGTCCTTGTGACTTACTTTCCAGTATATATAAGGGAGATAAAGTATTGAAGTCCTTAGTCCTGGCTGTTTCTCTCAGTATCTTTTTTGCTGCACCAACAAGAACTGTGAGACTGTGTGCTAAATATAATCTGATTGCATGGATGTGTGAAACTAGTTTGATCTTTGCCAGTGCTTGCTGGTTTAACTAATATAATGGTTAAATGTGTGCCTTCAGTCTGGGTTTTTCTTATTGTGGTGTTGTATAAAATCATAGAATGGTTAGGATTGGAAGGGACCTTAAAGATCAAGTAGGAGTGGAGGTGCTGTTGTTTGTTTTTTACAATGAAGTGACCACTGTACATGGATTACAGGCTGCACTTTTTCCCCCCTCAGAGGGGCTTGGACAAATCCCCAACAGCCAAATCTAAAAACTTTGCTAACTCTCCTGGAAACTGCATCGAGCCATAAATATAAAAATAAAAGCCAGGTGCGTTTCCATCAAGGGAGACACGTTTGTACAGGTCACTGAGTTGTGGAGGTTAACCACGACTCCGAGTGCATTGTGCTGAGGGCACTGTGTTTTTATTTCAAGAACCTGAAGCTATATCTGTATTTTGGGCTGTTTTTTTCCACGGCAGGCTCAAGAAGAGATGGCTTGGAGGATAGCAAAGATGATAGTCAACGACGTCATGCAGCAGGCGCAATGCGAACAGCCTTCGGAGAAGGTTACGAAGGTAAGGGGGTGGAAAGGCTGCCTGAATTCATCTGGCTCAGGCCAGGCTGTGGGAGGAGCAGAGCTCTCACTTGCCTTCCTCGTGCCTCTGAAACCCACGCTGGTAAATGTTCAAACTGGCATAGCATGATATGAAGAAACAAAGGTTGGAAGTGTTTCGGCCTACGGATGATGTAGGAATTTCTTAACAGATGCCTGTGGTCGTTCTCCTCTGCAGGCACTAAGCTTGTCTTAAGTTTGAGTCTTATTAGTTAAAAGGGTGATTTGTGTTGCAGGATCAATACTGTAATTCCTTACTTGAGTTCACACTTGCTTTTTCTTGTTAATCAATACTTGTACATCTGCCTAAAGTGTCAGTAAAACTCTGTGGCTGGGAAGTTGTCTCGTTGGGTGCACTCATTTACACAGTTCTGTCCCTAGACTTTGAAAGGACACAGCAGCCCTGGCTGGGGGTTTAGTGTTGTGTATTAGTGTTTGGTGACTGTGGTGTTGTTCAGCCCATTTGTTCTCTGTTTAGTTGTGATGCAGCAGTTAAATTTGGTGAAATGTTGGTGACAGCAGGTTACCAAGTTAATGTCTGGTACTTCTGACTGCCTAAAAATTAACTGGCATTATGTTTAGTTGTGGAAGGTAATTTAGTTATTAGACCCAAATAGGTGAATCCATAGTTTCACTATGTGACTGCTTGCTTTCTAATAGACCAGTTATGTTTAAATAAGTTGTATAATGATTTCATTTAATAGCTTGGCTGCAAGTGATACAATTCCAGTCTGGCTGGATGAAAAGGTCCCTCAGCACAGTATTTAGAAATATCAAGTGGCTGCAGATGCTCTGGATTCAATTATGCAAATAATCAAAAGGTTGAGTGTGTTGGGATTAGACTTGGGGTTTTTTCTCTCTCAAACTCAAACATACCTGGCTTCAATGTTTTTAAACACAAAATATCTTTCTACTGAGCAATTGCCTATGTTTTATGGTAGAATGTTCTCTAACCCTGTTTTCCCTTTTCCAGCTATGATTTTAGAAACTCCAGAACAGGAAATCTGGTTTTCCACTTCGAGAATGAGTGAACTTTCCCTTTTGGTGGATTCTTTAACACAGCCAATAAAAACAAAGCACTGTTACTCCAACCGCCGAGATCTCCCTCATTTCTAAGGAAGAATGAAAGAGAAGCAATCCTGTACCTCCACTGCAGAGAGTGAAGAAACACTTTTTCCTGTTGTATGTGGCATTCACAGTAATGATGGTTTTTAGAGATGAAGATGCAGTTTACAAATGTGTCACTGAGAAACTGTGATCGACTTCACAAATACTTGACCCTGTCTCAAAAAGACTTTTAAGCAAAATGTCTGGAACGGGACACAGGCCACAGCAGAGGGGAAGCTTTTGCTGTAATTTCTAGTTCTACTACTTGTAATTTTTAAACACAATTGCAAAGGCCTTGGAGCACATCCCCTCCACTGGCCACTGGAGAGGTGAACCTGGAAGGGTGAATTCATGGGCAGTGAATGACCTAGAAAGTTCTTAAGTTTTATTTTCCGTTACTTGAAATAGATGAGTATTCAACTGTAAGATAAATGAATTTTACTTCATAACTACATTAACTTTGAGGGCAGGATAGAAGGATCAGGAGCAAAGCCTGGACAGTGTAACTCCTCCTTGCTGAGCTCGTGCCCCTGCACACACTCATCCCCTGCTTCCACCACAGAGCAGACTCGGATCTTGCACCTGGGCAGCTCCCAAGCCACGGCTCCGAGCAGGTTGGACCCTGGAAACTGCTCCATTTTCTGTCCTCTCCATCCCACGAGCGAGGAAAAAAAAGTAATTGCTGCCATTCTCCACTGCTTGTTGTCCTCCAACCAACACAGTATCTAATTCCAGATGTTTGGTTTACAAAGAAAAGCAATTTTTAATGACCTCTGGCCTTCTTCCTGACACTGTCAACACTTACCATGTTACACAGCACCTCTTTTTTTTTTTTTCCAGCGAATTGATTTTTGCAGGGTATCAGGAGTACTCAGTGTCTCACCATTATGTTACTGCTGCATTTTTAGTATACAACACTTATTTTGGGTCTCTTTTTTTTTTTTTTTTACTCTGATGATTGCTTTTTTCCTCAAACTTGTGCAAAGAAAGAAATCACTATGCGAAGAACTCAAATCATTTCCAATGTTCAGAATATCTTGATTGACTAGCAAGTGTTATTCTGTTGCAATATTCGATTGTATAGAGACACACTGTATTGTCTATGAAAAAGCAAAAAGAAAAAAAAGGCTGTGTATAGGTTTTTGGTACTATGTACCACCTCTTATTTCTCTCATACCCAAGCATTCATGTACTTAAAACATACTATATTTAATTGTGTTTTGATTTAAAATATATAAATATTAAAATTTGTGTCAATTTTCTGTTTTCCTGGGATTTGGAAGTTACGTGGGGTTTTTTTAGTGTGAGTTTTAAGGGTTTATAAAAGAAACAAATCCCTGAATGCTTTGTCCTTGGCAGTTTTAGCCACGTTTCCTTAATGGATTTTGTTAATGGCAGTGTGGTGAAATACTAAATAATACTACTACTAATAATCCAATCTACAGGACTAAATCACAGGACATGTCAGAGTTGGCTGGGAAAGGGGTAGAAGGGGCAGGGCTTGGTGCTGTAGTGCAGTATTGAGCTGTGCGTGCTTGAATCCTCTTCTGTGCAGGAATTTAACCCCTCACCTGTTCTTGGTGCAAGGCTGACTCAGTTTTCCAGCTGGGCAGGATCCAGACTAGCCCGTGAGTGTGTTCAGGGATGAGGCCCCAGGTTTGGGTGTGAATATTGACCAGGGCTGAGTTCCTTAAGCTGTTGTGGTGTCTGGGGTGGATGTGGTCACATGGAGTGCGAGACTCGGCTGACCTTGAGTCGTTTCGAGTCTAGTTTTGGTACCGAACACCGGAGGTGTGTTTTGGAAGGGCACCAAACCCCCTGGCGTGGGCAGCGCGGGCGGTGCCCCGGGGGAGTCTCGAACCCGCGCCCGAGGGCGGCGCTGCCCGCCGGCCGCCAGGGGGCAGCAACGCCGCGCTCGGCCGCTCCCGCCGCGGCCACGCCCCTTCCGGCCCACGTGGGGCGCGCGCACATGGCCGCGGTGAGCGGGATCGGGGAGCGGGGCTGGACTGCTGGAATTCAACGTGGGATGCTGGACGGGTGGGGATGCTGGGGCGCTCTGGGGTTCCACCGTGGATCTCCCGCTGACCCCATCCCGCGCGGGGTCCTGCTCAGTGCGGGGGGTTTTTCCCTCCCTCCACGCCGTGTCCCCCCGTAGCGGCTCCTTCTTCCCCACGCGGGTATCGTTGCTCGGGTAGGGGGCTGTCCCCGCTGCCCGGTGGGGTTCCCGCCCCTGAGCGCGCTGTCCCGCAGAACATGTCGCCGGACGAGGATGTGCAGCGGCTCCTGATCCAGTTTCGAGATGAGGCAGGAGAGTCCCTGGGCTCGCCCTTCGACGTCCCGGTCACCATCACCCCGGACAAGCTGCAGCTGGTCTGCAACGCCCTCCTGCAGAAGGTGAGACCCCTCCCGAACTGCCCCGGCACTCCCGAGCCCTACCCGGGGCCGCCCCTCGCTACCTTACCTGCCCTTTCTCCCGCAGGATGAGCCGGTGCCTCTGGCCTTCTTCGTCCACGATGCCGAGATTGTGGCGTCGCTGGAGAAGACCCTGGCGGGGCAGAGCGTGGAGACGGAGAAGGTGCTGGACATCATCTACCAGCCGCAGGCGGTGTTCCGGGTGCGGGCGGTGACGCGCTGCACCAGCTCCCTCGAGGGGCACACCGAGGCCGTCATCTCCGTGGCCTTCAGCCCCACCGGAAAGTACGAGGGTCTGCCTGCAGACGGGGGTCTCGGGGTGAGGCAGCAGCTGCTCTGGTCCTCTCCTGGGGACACTTTGCTGAGCCGGGGTCTTCATCCTCTCCCAGGTACCTGGCGAGCGGCTCTGGAGACACCACCGTCCGCTTCTGGGATCTCGGCACAGAGACGCCGCAGTTCACGGCCAAAGGTGGGTGTGGGGGTGTCCCTCAGGGACCCTCTGCCTGCTTGGGGGACAAACAGAGCAGAGCCTGGTGCTGCCTGAGCTGTGTAGGCAGAACCGTGGCTCGGGGAGGGAGGGGCTCTCTTTGACAAAGTGGAAGAAGAGGGGCTGGCCAGGAGGAGCACAGGGGGTTCCCCCCATCTTGTACTTCCTTGGAGTGGCTTTCTGCTGGGACACTAAGGATAATCACAGCTCTCCACTCATGCCCACTCGTGCTCTCTCTGCCAGGTCACCGGCACTGGGTGCTCAGCATCGCCTGGTCACCAGATGGCAAGAAACTGGCCTCGGGCTGCAAGAACGGCCAGGTACGTGTTGGCTCCCTCTGTGTGGGGCTGGGGGTCTGTGGGAGCTTGGAGACCTTCTGCACCCCCATTCGGGACTGAAACCAAACTTGGTGAAGGCCTGTGGGGGATTAGGGGCGAAGGCTTGTGTTTCCTGGGCTGTGAGGGATGTATCCAGTTGTTTCGAGCAGGATTCCTGTTCCCCAGAGGAGCTCTGTGTGTGGAGCATTGTGGTATTGCAAGTAGTGTCTCCAGACTCTGTACCAGGCAGAGCTCTGGCTTTGTCACCTTGTGGACCTCTTGTTGCTGAGTCCTGCTGTCTTGTGGCAGATGCTTTTCCTTCTCTGCAGGAAAGAGTCCAGGCTTTAGATGTGGTCCTTTGCAGATGACTCCATCACAAGGGAGGTGTCTGGATTGAGAATGGTTATTGCCCAGCCAAGCCAGGGCTGCTGTTAGTGTGACCCAGACATGCAGCAGCAGCTTGTTTTGCAGCGTTCTCACGCAGATACAGCCAAATTCCCTCTCGTAGGAATGTGAAGGGGGCTCTGCCCTGGCTGTGGGGCAGAATGTTTGTGCTTAAGGTGCAGAAATGCCTCGGGAAGTGGGAGCACTCAGCTAAATGCGAGTCAGGAACTTGCTGAGCCGTGGAGGGGCAGTGGCTCACTCTGACCTTCGAACAATCTGGGAGCAGTGAGAGCAGCCGTGGAACTGCCAAGGTTGTGATTCCATCCCCCAGGAAACAGGCTGGGCCAGGGTGGTTCTGCCGTGGTTTGGTACTGATCTGGCTTTAATCGAACCCAGGGAGCTGCTTGTCCTCTATTTCCCTATTTTTCCCAGGTTCTCAAGTGGGAGATGACTAATGCCTTGGCTCTTTAGATGAACATTTATGAAGAGAGAGAATCAACAAGAGAAAACCAGCATGTGTCCCACCCACAGAATCTGATAATAAGCAGCACTTAGCGCGCTGCGGCTTTCATAGCGCTCTGCAAACATTCACTGAGTCTCTGGCACAGGGTGGCTTTTTGGGGACCTGTATCCCTTTTGAGTTGAGTCAGATAATTTGTAGCAGCAGTGCTGTAGGCAGACAGGAGGGCAGTCAGCTCTCATTCTTTTGGGTGTCAGCTGACGGCTGCAGGGATCTGGAAAGGCATCCAACCCCCTTCCCTTGCTCCTCCCTGCCTCTACCAGTTTCAGCGGACACCAGGGACACCTTTGCTTCCTAAAAGGAGCTGCAGCGTCCCTGGAATTCACATGATGTCTGTGGCCTGACGTGACCCTCTCTCTTCCTCTCTTGGACAGATATTTCTCTGGGACCCAGCCACGGGCAGCCAGATCGGCCGGGTGCTGTCTGGCCACTCCAAATGGATCACATGTCTGTGCTGGGAACCGCTCCACATGTAAGTGAAGGGCCAGCCCAGCCCTTCCCCTTGACTCCTATGGAAAAGAGCAGCCTGACCTGAAGGGCACTGCTCCTGTTTGCCTTTCTCCTGTTATGGGAAAAAGCATGTGCAGGAGAACGGCTCCCAAGGTGGGCTGGGAAAAAGGTGTCCAGCTGGGAGAGCCAGGAGCCCCAGCCATAAAGTCACTGCCAGGCTGTGCCTCTTTTCCCCTGTGTAAAAGACATACCTGCCTCTGGAAAGCACTGCTTTTGTGGTGCTGGACAAATATTTGGTGTGGTCCCCCATGGCATGCTGAGCTGGGAGCAGGGAAGCCTGGGGGTCCCCAAGTGTAGGCTCTGTGGAGCATTCCCTCCTGCTCTCCTGATCCTGCTGGCCTCTGTCATCCTGTTTGTTTATCATGAGGGATGATTAACTGTGCAATCCCCTTATCCCTTTGATCAGCTAAAGCTCCCTCTGGGAGAGGTGGGTGGAGGGGGCAGTTATAGCCAATAATCCAAGACGTTATAGAAATAAATAAAAAAAGAAAGAAAAAGGGTCCCTTCAGTGCAGAGCCCTGCAAATTGAATTTGCCAGTAGGAAGCTCCAGCTATTTGCAAACAATTAATTAGATTAGCAAAAAATGATTGTAAAGGAGCATGAGGAAATGGAGAGGAGAGACATGACCCGGGCAGGGCTGCAATTCTCTTTTCTCCAGCCAGTCCCAGTGCAATGGGAGGGGCTGTTCTTCCTCACTGCTCCTCATGCCACCAGGCTGAGTGATGAAGGTGTTGTGCAAAGGACAGAGGGTTGCGGTTCCTCTGTCCTTGATGGGTTGTGCCAGCTGCTTCCAGATGTGTTAAATTTGACCCCCTGAGCCACGTGGATGGATGTTGCTCCTTTCGGTCCTGCCAGCACAGGAGCACTCTGTCCACAGGCTGGAGACAAGCATGGCATAGGCAGGGGAGCATCCAATGCATTCCCAATGCCACTGGTCTGCACTGCCTGGGTGAGGCTGGTCCCCTGCCCAGGGCTCTCCCCAGCCAGTGCCCGGGGAAGGTGCCAGTTTTGGGGTGCCCTCTTAAGCCAGCTGGTTAAAGCTGTGCCCTGTGCAAACAAGGGGTCAGGTGCAAGGTTTACCCTGGATTGATGCCTCCAGTGTGCAGCCCAGGAGTTGGTTTGGAGGAAGCATTTGTCTGCCTCTTCCCTGCTTTGTGCTCTGCCCTTGCCTGGCCTCTTGCAGATCTTAAGCCAAAAGACAGTTGTATTTTATTGACTTCTGGACCCTTGAATCTCCTGGGGGTGGTGGGGAAAGAGCTTGGTGGAGGAGCTGTGTGCGCCGCACAAATGGATTTGATCTTCTTTTTCCCCAGAAACCCAGAGTGTCGCTACCTGGCGAGTGCCTCCAAGGACGGCAGCGTCCGCATCTGGGACACGCTGATGGGCAGGTGTGACAAAATCCTCACGAGCCACACGCAGTCGGTGACATGTGTGAAGTGGGGGGGCGATGGCTTGATCTACTCCTCCTCCCAGGACAGGACCATCAAAGTCTGGAGGAGCCAGGATGTAAGTGAGGCAGCAGCCCTGGGGCTGCTGGCAAAGGGGGCTGGGCACAATGTGTGGTAGCTTTGTCTGCTCTTCCTGGCACAGCTTGTGCCCTGGAAAACAGAGCTGCAGAGCAGGTGCTGTATCTTCTTGACCTATCAAAACCTGTTGCCTGACACAATTTGGAAGGGGTGGCTGTTGTGCAATGTTTTCATCTCTAAGAGCATTAAGTGGGGCTAAAAGCTGGAAACATCCCGGATGCAACCTGTGCTGGTGGGTGTCCTCAAGCTCCTGTGGGAAGCTGATTCCTGAAGCTCAACTGTGTCATTTCTTCCCTGCTGCAGTCCTGGCTACTGCTTGGGCGGGAGGGTTGGGAAAGTTTGGTGTTGGTCCTTGCAGCCTAGTGGGTCTGGTGGGTGCTGGGCAGCCTGGCTGTGTGCTGCCTCCCTCCCTGAGGGGTGGTTGTGTCCCCAGGGGGTGCTGTGCCGCAGCCTGCAGGGCCACGCTCACTGGGTGAACACCATGGCCCTGAGCACCGACTATGTCCTCCGCACCGGGGCCTTCGAACCCGCCGAGGCCACGATCAACCCACAGGACGTCAGAGGCTCCTGTGAGTGCAGCACCCTCTTGCAGGCTGGGGGAGGCAGTGGGGAGGATAAAGGGGAGGCCTGATACCATGTTGCCACGAGCCAAAGCAACCTTGAGAGCTGGGAGCAGGTCCTGTGCTAATGTCAGTCATGCTGACAGCTGTGATCTTCCCTGCCCTTGCCAGGGCTGAGCAGTCTGGGGGATGGGAAGGTCGCTCTGTTTCCAAGGGCTTTTGCTCCCAAATTGCCCTTGGCAAAGAGGAAGTGGGTGAGAAGTCACAAATGCGTCTGCTTGGCCCACGGAGCCAGGATTGGAATTGGCATCTCAGGGTTATAAAGTTTCCTTTCACCTACCGATTGCAACTTTCTCTTCCCCTCTCCTTTTCCCTTTCTCAGTGGCAGAACTGAAGGAAAAGGCTCAGCAAAGGTACAACCAAGTCCGGGTGAGTCCCTTTTGTCCCTGCTGTCGTTTCCAACACTGTCACTGGTGGAAGCAGTAAACGTGCACAGTGGGCTCTGGGCCCCAACACTGGTGTGCTTCCGAGCTCTCCACACCTGGCCCATACAAGACTTGGGCTCTTTCATCCTTTTCTCAGGGCCAGGAACCAGAAAGGCTCGTCTCGGGGTCAGATGATTTCACCCTGTTTCTCTGGAGACCAGCAGAAGACAAGAAGCCGCTGGAGAGAATGACAGGCCACCAGGCATTGATCAACCAAGTCCTCTTCTCACCAGACACCCGGATAATAGCCAGTGCTTCCTTTGACAAGTCCATAAAGCTCTGGGATGGTAGGACAGGAAAGTGAGTTGTTTTGTTCTGTTGCAGAGGTGGTGCTAGTACAGGGTCTGCAGGGGTGGGCTCCAGTGTCATTGCCAGCAGCCCCCTGATGTGTTCAGCATCTCAGCAGCCTGAACTCATGCAAAGTCATTCTGCTGCCTCTGTCTTTTTCTGCCCTTGGGAAGCTCCTTGTCTGGCTCTTCTTGTGTCAGGGGGTCTTCTTGTGCTTGGCTGTGTGTGTGCAACACCACTGCCACCCAGCCACAGCACTGCCTGGCACCTGTGGCACACACAGTCTGCTGCAGGGTGAGTTCTCTGAGCTGCGGTGGGATGGGATGTTCCACTCGGCTGATCTCCTGAAGATGTGTGTGTTGGGCACTGTAGACTGACCCAGTTTAATCAGTTCCCGTGCCAGAGAACAGCTTGTTCTGGATGATGCAAATTCTTGTAGTTACAAGTGGTGCTGTTGGTGTTTGGATGCTCCTGGAATCCAGCTTTTAGCCTTCAGCTGGAGTACTGGTGAGCTCTCGGGGCAGCAGTCCTTCCCTGCAAAGCAACCTTTATGCTCGTGAGCTTGGCATTCATGTCAGTAATTTTAAAGGTCCCTCTAAATCCAGGCTGCTTGGTCAAAAAAAGGAAGAACACATCTGTGCAGTAAGGCTGTAGCATTGCCTGCTGGGTAAGAGTTTCTTGGCAGATGAGTTGAGATGAAGAGTCATCGTCTAGAAGGTTCTGAGCCCACCCTGGGAGGGTTTTTACATGGACTGAGCAACCCGTGGACTCTGTCTCACAGTTGACTGGCTGCGGTGTGCTGAGCATCTTGTGGCTGTGCTGGTTTGCTCACGGGTGGAGAAGAAACAGGAAGACAAGGGCAGGTTTGGAACAAGCCGTGCTGCTCTAACAGCTTGTGCTCTGCCCCAGGTACCTGACGTCGCTGCGGGGGCACGTCTCGGCCGTGTACCAGATCGCCTGGTCGGCCGACAGCCGCTTGCTGGTGAGCGGCAGCAGCGACAGCACCCTCAAGGTCTGGGATGCCAAGACAAAGAAACTGGCCATCGATCTTCCTGGCCATGCAGATGAGGTGAGCTGTTTGGTTGAGGTGAGGTATTGGTGTTTGAGAGAGGCAGGAGTGACTCCTCCTCCCAGCAGAACTAACTGTCTTTTCCATAACACCAGGTGTATGCAACGGATTGGAGCCCGGACGGACAGAGGGTGGCGAGTGGAGGGAAGGATAAGTGTTTGAGGATGTAAGTAACCTGTTGTCTGTCCATAGAGGATGTTGCAGCTACTCCATGTGTCCCTCAGAGCCACAGGCTCCTTGCAGAGACCTTCATGGTTGGGGCATGATCTGTCCTTGCAGAGAGCACAGCGCTGGGTCACACTCTGGCTTGGAGACCTGACCTCCCTCAGGGCAGGAGCTGCTGCTGTCCCCTGGCAGCTGACTAGAAAGCAGAGTCCCTCCAGCTGAGCAGTCTGGGTGAAATTTGACTCAGATGTTTTGGCTCCTGGAGAGGGGAAAGAACATTTGTACCAGTTGGTCAGACCTTCATTTCTCACCTTGCTCCCTCTCCCAGTTATGCAGACAGACAAATTCCTGTGAGCTGGCTGCCATTTGACCGTGGCTGGTGAACCCAGTCCCTGGGCCCTGCTGTGCTGCTCCTGTATGGTGCCTGTGGGCAGCACTGGTGCCCAACCACAGGGACAAAGCAGCTCTTTCCATTTGCAGATGGCGTCGATAGGAACAGAGACACGAAGCTGCTGGTCCTGTCCTCGGCACAACGTGCCTGGAAGATCTCCAAGGGGAAGGAAGGGTGACGGAGGCCGACCCAAGCACGACTCCCTGTTCCTGTTGGCTACTCTCCCTCTTGGACTCTTTCCTTATATTTATTTAAGGAAATTTTAATTCTAGTTCTTATTAAGAGCTGTGCTTTGCAGGATGATTTCCTCTGAACATTACAGGAGGGATATCTCGTCTGCCTCCATCTCAACTGGCTTTTTATTGGAATTTCAGCCTCACAGAAACCCTCTGCCTTGAAAGGGGCAAGTGAAGGGCAGGAATGGCTCTTGCCCTTTCTTGCTGTGTGTGAAGAATCCTGCAGAGAAGAGGGGTTTAGTGGGAACTGAAAGGGTTGTCCTTATGCAACCTTCAGAGAGAGAGAAATGGGAAAATTCAGGAACATCAATTACATTGCAGAATTGTGCTCGGCTGCACGTCTGGGACAAAGATCTGCTGTGAATAAGGTCTTGGGGCTTCTCCTTATTCCAGTAAGGTTTTGCCTTTCCACTCAGCCCACTTCCCTGTGGGCTGTGCTGAGCATTATCTGTGGATTCTCTGCGTCCACAAAGGATAACTCCTTCACTCGTCTGTTCGGGGTCCAACGTGCATGGACTTCAAATGACTGCTGGAGCTGTGCAGAGTTGTCAGGTCTCAACAGCTCTTGGAAATGGGGAAATGAGACACTTGTGCCTCTGAACAGGGGAGGAAGCATCCATTTCCCATCCACCGCTGGCTCAGGGGGGAAGGAAGGATAGGGTGGGGAAGGGGAAGAACGGAGCTGGCATTTGGGGTGGTGTTTGTCCCTTGCCCTGGATATGTGCTGACAGCAGGACCGGGACTGTCACAGTAAATGGCAAAACTTCCATTGCACACAGTTGGCTCCTTCTGGAATTTCTTAAGTGCATTTACTTGCCCAGTGGGTGAGAGGGATTCACACTGTCAGTTGTGTATTTCTAAACTTGCTTGTGAGCCTTTTTATAAGTCAGTTCAGGCTTCCAGCCGTCATGAGACGAATAGACCTGGATTTACTGTTTGTTTCCAGGATGCTTATGAAACAGTGAAAATCAAGATGTGATTACTAAGGAGCAGACAATTATATTGTCAAATTTGGTTGCAGCAAGTTAATATGAAGGTCAAAACATTCTCCATAGCCCTCATCCTGCAGTTGCTACTCAGTGATTACAACAACTCAGAATGGGAATTTGGGTCTCAGATGCTTCCCAGCTGCAGAAGATGCATTTTAGGACTTTTTTCCAGCTGGCAGGATTGCTTTGGAGAATTAAGAGGGGATGGTGCAGTGATGGCCATTTGCTTGCTTGCAAGTGTTCAGGGGAGAAAAAGACTGGAACAAAGGGTTAAATTTTTGATATGGCTGAGAAGACAACTTGTGGTTCCTGTTGTTAGTTTCTCTTTTTGCCAGCGAAGTCAGCAGGCTCTGTCTTTGTGGGATCTTTTGGAAGACCTCAGTATCCTCTAGCTGCTCTTTCATTAATGTGCTTCTTCCAGCTGGTTCTTGCTGACAGGGAAGGCCACGTTGCCTCCAATCTGCATAAACAAAACCTTTCCTAATGCACTGAGGTAAATGTTGTGGGACAGGGTGATTTAAAACTGTAGCTGATAATTCTGCCTCCCCAGACTGCTGTGCCCTTGGGAAGGAGAGGAGCAGGTCTCTGGTAGTGGCCAAGAAGTCTGCCTGTTTTGAAAGTTTTTTGGGATGCTTGTTCTAAAGAAAACAGTCCACCCTTGGGAGTTCAGCTCTGTGTCCCCAGGTCTGACTTGCTGAAAGCAGCAGCTCCTGGTGTGGCTCTTTGCAGGGGAACAAGCATCGTTCTCTGCTTCCTTCCCTGAAGTGCTGCACGGGGTCACTGTGACCTGTCAGTGCAGGGTGTGTTTTGTGTTGGAAGCAGGGATGTATTGGAGCTGAGGGAGGCAATCCTGCCTGTGAGAACTGGCTTGGCTGTGCATGTGTGTAGGTGTACCTAAAATAAATCAGTGTACCTTGTCCCCTGATTTCCAAACCAAAGCAATTGCTGTGCCCTCTGGCCGTGCTCCTGCCATCCCTTCAGAGTCTGCTTCGGTGACATTTGGCACCAAACAGAGCCTGATTAAAACCCACCTTCCTAATGCTGGAGCAGAAAGGTTTTCCAAAGGGAAGTGAGACCTCGTGAAGAAAGAGAGGGCCTTGCAACTAAGTTTACACCAAAATAAGCTCCTTGGCCTTAATCTTTCTCTGATCTGATAGCAGGTAGATTTTTGAACCACACTCAGTGATGGGTTTGCATGTAAACCAAATTGTATTTTCTTATCCGAGCATCTGCTACTATTTTTATCATTCATACAGCACCAGCCTTCATACATGCTAAGTGCTGGCCCCGCTCCAGCTGTATTCCTGAGCAATTCTGTAACACTCCTCCCAGTTTCATTTGAATGCAGCACTTCCCGGGCCTGGCTCTGCAGTCTCCCGCCTGGAGAGCTGCTGCCCTTCCCATCGGAGCTGGCTCCTTCTTGGCAGGAGGTGCAGCGGGCGCGTGACCTCCCTCGCTCCGCCGGCGCTGGGGGTGGGAGCTTTAATTAGCCGATTTTGGGAATTGCAGATGCAAATTAGGGCTGACAGAGTTATTAATGGGGAAGACGTTACTTTTGGTTGAAAGGACAAATCTAGAAGGTAAGGCTGGAGCTTCCTGATTGCTCTTCTGGGAATGGCAGCACTAACCTCACAGGAAGCCTGCTGAAACAGCTGAGCTTTTCCAGTGCTGTGTGAAAGGAATCTCAGGATCTGCTCCTGTGTTTCAGTCCAAGTTCCTCCTGAGTTACTTGTTAAACATCTCACACAGGTTTTCCTACCACAAGGGCATTATTTTTCACTGGTAATACAAGAATAATTTTAAGCATATCCAGAAACTGTCCCACAGAGCCCTCTGACACTTTCTTCTTTAAAAGCTGTGATGCCACCATTAATTTTGTTACAAATCCCCAATGGGAGGACAGTGATGATAAGGACTGGGAAGCGTGCCAGTCCTCTGAGAAAGGTTTACCTGTCTAATAAATTCCTGAATATGATGGAGGGAAGGAAGGGATATGATAAGAACACCTAGGGTGAGGTAGATCATTTGGGATAGCATTGAGGCGAGCAGTATGGTGCCAAACTCCTGCCCTTTGGAGGCTGATTTAGATAAGTGAGGCCTTAGAATCCTTATGAAAACTGTTCTTGGGGCTGTGTGTCCTGCTTATCCATGCAGGAGGGCTGGCAAGTGGTGTGTGTGTTGTGCTTCCTGGGTTCTGGGTCCTTGGAGCCACACGTTGCTTTTCTGCTCAACTCAGATGATCTCTTGAACATTTTCCCAGGTCTGTAATTTAATTTCCTTGTGCATGTTTATAGCCTGGGGAGAGAGACAAGAAAAAATCTTTCAATGAATAGGAAGAAAATGATCTTCATTCATTTGTCTGCATGAAAAAGAGCTGCTCTCAGCTTTTTTTGGGTCAACCCAGGCACTGTTCAGATGATGTTTCTACCTCAAGGCTGCATTTTGGTGGTATGGCAGAAAATGGCTTGCTGTGAAGACTGTTGGTGTTTTTGAGGATGAAAGGTGTTATGGAAACTCAGGACAGTGACGTATGTGTTTTGGGGAGCTGCTACCAGAGGAAAATGTACTTCTCTGCACTGGGACAAGCAACCTGGAAGGCGCTGATTTCTTCCTCGATGTGCTGCTCTTGTGATCAAGAGCCCTGTCTCCAACCTGAGGGACTAACTAGCTGAACCAATGTAGTGCAGCTGAGAAGGAGCCACAAAGCCATGTCTAGTGCTGCTCTTCTGTTTCCTCCACTCTCACTCTATAACAGTGGTCCTCACCAAGCTATAGGTTGCCAGTGGTCTCTGTCAGGGGGCTGCGGCTCTTGCAGAGTGTGCTGTTAAAAATGAACAAACTCAGGGCACCGTATCTGTGCTTTTGAAGGTTGATTACCCGTGGTACTGGTGCCCACTGCCTGGTGGTGCTTTTGGAGCATGCTGGGTGTTTTATTGTCCTGCCACGTGGCTGCCAGAGCAGTGCATCCCCCCGGGGGCTGCTGCCGCTGCCAGCCCTAAATGCCACATATCCATGTGGATTCCTTGAGGGAGGGAGGAGCAGCACGAGCCCCATGGGATTATCCTGCATCCTGTCCCAGTGTCTCCAGTAACGAGGTTCCCTTGGGGAAGGGCAGGTGAATTCAGTCTGTTCTGCCTCTGACCCCTTTCAGCAGCAAAAGGAAGTGAAGGTGCTGTTTGTAAATAGGTTTATTGTAGTCTGGGTGCTGGAAATATTGACATCCCAAAACTCTCCTGGGACACCAATCAAGGCCCTGGCTCGAAGGAGTGACCCGCATGCAAATCCCTCAGCCTCCTGAGCGCTGTTCCAGAGCTCAGCCTTCAGATCCCGCTCGGATCCCAGTGCAGCGTGTTTAGTTATTCCGGTCAAACCTCCCTGCTGCTCCTGGCTGTTTGTCCTTGCTGTGCTGAAACAAACCTGCTCGAGGGCTCCAGCTCCATTAGGAGGACAAAAGGACATCAGGCAGCGCTGCTGCCGAAGGGAGATGTGTCTGGGTTTGGAAGTGGGATGCAGAATGGGTGGCTTAGGAATTACTGTTGTGGCATTCTCTGTTCAAAAGGCATCTTCTGAATGAATTATTTTTTTTTAGCTTCCCGAAAATGTAGCTGGTGACATTGACTTTGGGGTGAGGATACATGCTGATGCTGAGAGGATTAATACTGAATGTGAGACTCTGTGGATGGCAATAAACAACCAGTTCTCGGGGAAATTATTTTCTGAATCAGAATATTTAACACATGGAGGCTTGTGGGCTTTTTCCTGGTTTAAAGGGGCACTGTGAAGCGTACTAGAAAGTGTCTGTTACTACCAACACCTTAATTTATTATTAACTTGGAATATTTTTACATCTCATTTATTCCTTACACGGGGGTGTTCTGAGCTGTTGAAATTATTGGTCAGCTTTGCTTTCTCAGTGTTGCTTGTTGGGGTAGTGCCATGGATGGGCTTTGGATGGGAGCTCAAAACTTCAGCAAATAAAGGAGGGGGGACTCAGTCTGGAGAGGTTTTAAAGCCCTTTTGTTCTCTTTGGCACAAAACAGATTTCTTAGTATTCCTCTGATATTATGATTTAGACATACGGTGTCTAAAGCTTAAAGTGACCTTCATAAAGCTGTCTATCTTCCCTTAATAATCTCTTGCTGAATATTTTTTTAATCTAAGTGCATTTTCTTTGGAGAAGTCTTTAGCTGCAGAGGTTCTGACATGGCACATTGGCCCCAGTAGCGCCTGGTTTTTGAGTGCTGGAAAGAGAAGGGAGATAAGTGAAGAATGGGGAGAGGCCCAACTGCGTAAATCCTCGCTCAGTCTCTATTTTGATCTGGTGACACTGAAAGCAGAGCCTGTGTCACGTGGGGGAAGGCACAGCACAGC